GGGGGGGGGGGCGATCGACTTTCACCCGGGAAAGCGTGTTCTAGACCCCTGATTTCTCGCCCCCTTTTTTGGGTGCTTCCCCCCCCCCCAATAAAACCAATAAAACCGCGCCTGAGTTGCCCTTAACTAATCCGTGGCTGCAATCCGTGAGAAGTCCGTCGGCTCATCAGATCGGCCGTATCTAATCTCAGATGATGGTCCGTCGACTTTCTACATCGGAATTAACTGCCTACAGCAAGACGAAAGCGTCTCTGAGTCAGCAGCGGCCTGCGGCCTGCCACTGCCACACACATCCGCCTTCACAGTAAAAAATCTGTTCGTACATGTACGGTATATTTTGTAATGTACCACTTAAAACGTGTCGTGCATGTGTATACAACCTCCCACTCTTGCTCGACACGATTCATAGTCCATAACGCAGTGCTTGTAAATTTACAATTTCTAATCGTAACCGCTCGCCATCTTATGGAAAATCCTCCTGTACCCAGTACGACAATTTTTCACAGTGTTTGTCGTTGCAGACTAGCTCTAACTAGAATAAGTAATAGATAATTACTTATTGATAAAAACAAAATTATTTTCTTCTCCGGGCAAACACATTGAATCATCTGCACATCAGAGATGCGTTGCTCGCTAATACAAGGACAGTCTAAACTGCGTGAGCACGAAGAGATACGTCGCAGTAGCCGCCAGAATCTGCAACAATCAGAGGCATTTACGGATTGGGATTCATTGCACTCATTTCGACTAGGCCATTATCTCCTATACGCCATCCATCTTCCCTAGGAATATGGGACAAAGCATCGTCCCCTTGGCGCCTGATAGGTAAGTAGGCCATGCTGCGCCGGTAGTGCACGCTTGTACTGCCGGTTGTTAGCCCACCCCAAGTCTCGCAGGCGCCGAGCTCAAATTATTTATATTGCCGAGTGAATGTAACGACGGGGGACAAAATTTTTATATGATCCCTGAACTTAACCGAATTCGAGCAGATTATTTTTCTAAGCGCTTTCCAGGAGCCGAAGCCGAATGGGTTTTGTTTATACCTCAGAGACCATAAAAATTACGTTTTCATCTTCCGACTAATATTACTTTCACTTACAGTTCTCATAGCACTAATATCAAGGCGAAACATTCCGAGAACGTTGAAATAGCCATCCAAAAGAGCAATTTGAACGATAAATTTCTCAATCTGGAACAAAAAGCGAATGGTGATGTTCCTGCCCAATGTATTTTTAGCATACGTATCTTACAGAACACACTACCTCACGAATTACTGCGAACGGTACATCTGGAGCGTCCGCCAGAAAGCCCTGCAACGCTTGACCGAGCTTGACATGCTGTCGAATAGAGATCGTGCTGGCTCAATCAAGGAACTAGCACCTTAACACAGACATTTTTGGTACCTCTTGAGCCGCTTGCTGAAAGGTGTAGCAGGCAAACACGAAAAACAGTAGCCGCCCCAAACCTGCTTGCAGGGGCATTATCCTGTACAAAAGGTAGTCGACTGGGCCGTCCTGCACCTCGGTGAGGCTCCCGATGGTCGTCGACACGCAGATCGAACAGTAAGTCACGGTGAAGACGATCATGGTCAGGACCTGCCGGCGAGGCAACACTTTGTCGACTTTGTAGTAGACCCGATCGCAAGGGTAGTCAAAGAAAATAATACTTTTAATAAAATGTCGATTTAGCTTGGGCATGGCTTTGCTTCTTAAAAAGTCAAACCAAATGTTTTAGTATGGCTCAAACCACGGTAGCGGGGTAGTTCCTCTCGCTATTTTTAAATTAAGGCCTGCTTTCATCATGACTTAAGCGAATATCAGGGGGTATACAGACAAAACCGTACGCACTGTGAGGCTGTGGTACCCTTTCGTCCATCTCTGTGGTTTGGATTTGGCTTTTTAAAGGAGCAACTCGATCCAAAGTAACGCCCGATTCAAATCGACTTATTCTGTATCACACGCAAGTGTGTGAATGTCGCTCAACTGTAGGTGTGTGAATATCCATTCGTACCCTTAGAGGGGTATAGGTGTAAACTTTTCCTACGTTCACACGTTTACCCCCGTAGGGGGGGGGGGGGGGGGAGATATTCACACACCTACAAGTGTGCGACATTCACACACTTGCGTGGCCAGTGTATAGTTAGTTATTTCTTTGGGCCACGATACCAGCCTCACTGCACCTGCCAGCTGGTGATGGCGGAGGCCATGCAGCCCATGTCGACCAGCTCCATGTGTCGCACGCGCAACCGCCGCCAGCAGAACTGGTCGCGAGGGCTGCTCGCACGCCAGGGGTCCCGGATTCTGTCGCTGAGGGTGCCGTCGAGGGCGTCCCCCAGGCTGTCCCCGGGGCTGACCTGCCCCCCCGACGGCATGCCACCGACACCCTTCCTGGCGGCCGGGGCTGTGCTCCTCCGGCGTGCGGGCCACACCAGGCGGGCCTCGTCGCTGGGCATGGCCGCGACGTGCCCGTTGTGGTCCGGGACCCAGGCGCCGGCCGCGCGCAGGGCACGGAGGCAGTCCTGGCGCAGGTCTCGCGCGAGCTGCCCCGTGAAGCCGGAGAGAGTTAGGGTGTACAGCTGCAGCCCGACGTTGAACGTGGCCCACAGCACGCGTTCGAAGTCCAACGCGGAGCTGTGGGGGGAACACTTCAGCCTCACTTCCTCACAGTCGGCGTCGACCTTAGAACTACCGGGTATCTAGGCTAAGACATGGCAGCTCGCATGGCAACTTCCCAACCACTACTCCCCCGCCAACCGCCCGCGCCTGCAGCATGTGCATAGGCAACCCAACGTACTGGCATGTCTTAGCCTGGACACTCGGCACGTCAACCCGCTGCTCTTAAACTCACGTGCGACCCTGGATCCACCACATGGACGTGAACCCGTTAAAAACGCCGTACGCCGTACAGAACAACGCGATGCCGAGCAGAGCCCTCCATCCCCTGGGCGACAGCGGGTGCGAGGCGCAGTATAGGCGCAGGCACTGCACCAGGGCGCACAGCTCGCCGCGGCGCCGGCAGCGCTCGCTCCCCTCCAGCATCCGCAGCACGCCGTGGTACGCGAACATCGCCGACTAAGTATTACAGACGTGAAGAAGTAAAACGGAAAAGGTGGCGCGTGGCGCTCTGCGCGAAGAGGTCGCGACGGCGTCAAATTGACAAGTTGTTCCCAAATCTAGAAAGCTTGTCAGCTTTGACTGCGTCCTATTTTGGTGCCATACAATGTCAATGACTTAAATAGCGACGTGCTCCTCATGTTTCCCTCAAGAGCGTGGTCAGACTGTCCTCATTTATCATTATATATCTTTAGGAGGGGTCTTGTCGCCGTATGTGACTACTTGTGGGCGGACTACTCCACGCGTGTCTTGCGCCTCGAACTGCCACGCGCCTCTGCCTACAATAAAGCATTCCGGTAAAGCTGAAATGCTGAAAAATGCGTCGGAGAAGAAAACGTGCTTTAACTTAGTGACTTCCGTATTCTTGTTTCATGCATTCTTCCGCATTTCCGCTTTACCGGAATGCCTATGTGCAGAGGTCACAAACTCGCGGCTCCCGAGCCAAGCGCGGCTCGCCTAGAGACGCGCACCTCTTGCGTTCGAGCGGAAGGCTCGAGTTTGCGACCCCTGCCTAAGTGGGTTGGGTCGGCACCTTGAACGCCGAGTTGCCCGTCGTAGACCGCAAGTCTTGGGAGCCGCCGTACATGGTTATGCACATGGACGTGGACAGGAACACGCCCCACGCGAGCGCGGCCGGCCACGGCCTGGGGTCAGGCCTCCACAGCCAGCCTCGAACGGGCAGCATGCCGAGCAGCGCCGCGCTCGTGCTGAAGAGCGCCCACACCAGGACCGTCAGCGCGCGCGTCAGCGTCCGGCACGGCATCGCGCCACTTAGGTCCAATCCGTCCCGCGGACGAGAGGTCAGGTGTCAGCAGGCTTGGTAGCGGGCCCGGCCGCTCTCTGACCACTAGCCCGTAGACCGGGCCCCACACACACAACAGCCCCAGCCGACACTGGCGGGGCTGAATAGCAGTGGTCATCAAGTGAAAGCTTCCAGGCTGAGGCCCACGACGCTCCTGCCGAGGTTGACAATGGCAGCAATATTCCAATGAGTTCTCGCTCCATCGCGGAGAGGTTCGATCGCCCGGTCGAGGGACAGAGAAATGTGCTGGAGAAAGGGGCTGGGGACGGGCAGTACAGTGTGTGCGCACGTGCACAAAGTTCATTGCACGGTCCAACTAGAACACGCCCACTGTATGCAGTTGTTGTTCGCTTTCGGACCACTGAAGCTGATAAGATTATAGCTTAATCCGCCATAACTTTTGGCCCTTCGGTGGCGGTGTGTCCATCATAGGCACCCAGTATTTTAATTTTTTTATTGCTTTTATTGTCGCATGTTTAAGGCCACACTATGTACCCCTGCAATTACAACGACATATGGCGCCCACGGCGACAACATAAACACTCGAAACACTCGAGTGGTCCGGCAGCGTATCTCCCACCCTTCCGCTGATAAGCCTCGACACAAATCAGATGCGGACTACAATAGGGCGTGTGCCGCGGCCACTGCTGGTCGCATAACGAGTGTCGCAAGCAACCTGCAGGTGAGTGAGATAAGCTGCACTGGACACACTTTCCTCTCCTCCATCCGCCCCAGTGATGATCTACGTGCGCAGGATGGAGGCCCTGTTCCTACTGGCGCTGCTCGCAGCCGGGGCCCACGCCCTCGCCGTCACCCCGACCCCGACGCCCGAGGACCCCAACGACCCCGCCTACGAGATGACCTTCCCCGAAGGCTTCATCTTCAGCAGCGCGACGGCCTC